AGCATAGCACTAACGCTTCGGGCGGACTACTTAAATAGGCAATCAAAAGTTGTACGTGTGACTAGTTGTACTCTCGTTATACTGATAAAATATGTAAAGCCAGTACTAAAATTAACATTGGCCTACCGCTTGTACTAATAAAGTGCCAAGGGCCTAAGTGGTCAACTTAATATTTAAAAAAAATAAAAAAAAAATATAATAAATTTTTATCTTTTAGTAATTTTCTTTTCATTAATTTTAATCATATCTAAAATCAAACTTCTAACTAATTTAAATTTAGATCCTCAAAATCTTATTAGTAAAAAAAAAATAATATTACAAGAAAAAAAAAAATTCAAATTATAATCTTTATATACTACTTCCTCACTTTATATAGTTCTTCCAGAATCATATTTCATAATTAAATTAAAAACTATTTATTATAATAGTTTAAATAAATATTCGATATCTTATCTTTGATATATTCATATCCGATTTAGTAAAACAATTCTTAAAGTAAAAATTTTACTTCTTAATGTTTACAAACAAATTTAAAAACTATAAATTTTCGAAACTAATTTCTTAATAGTTTAAATAAACCTAGTTTTTCGATTAAAAAGAAATCTTAACAAATATATGCTTAGTAATCTAGATATTTATAGTTTCGTTTATATACATTTTGTCTTAATTAATATAACATATAAATAAATATTAACTTATCTTTACTTAGATACTTATTTTAGATTTATTGTATCGATTCTTTTAGTGATTTTAAAAATATCATTTTTTAACTTCCAAGATATTGGATTCTCATTATTAAATTTGTAAGACTTCTTCAATTCATAAGTAATTTTTTATTTATTTTCATTTAGATTCGATCTTCTTTACATGTAACATATCTTATATTAGCGTTAGAGAGTTTAAATCTCTTATCGTCAAGTATTCTCTTGAATTTGAAAATAATTTAAAAAAAAATAATAATTTAGTTAATTATAATAATCTTAATTACTTATACCGATAAATCTTTAAGATCTTTTTATCCCGGTTTAATATTTTATCCAAGTGCAACAGCACTTATTCACGTGATGTAATTCCAAAGTTTATTATGATCGATCAATATGATCAATATACTCTTCTTATTGATTCATTTAACTTTAGTCGATTTTTAAATTCATGTGACTTAATTTGTTCTTATCTTCTATTCAAATCATCTTTACAAAATTGAATCTTTAATTAAACCGCTAACTGAATATAATAATTAGAAGTGCCTTTATCAAACTTAATCTATTGCACATTTGAATAGTTAACACTTCATCATAATAAAGTAATCTATGTTTTCTATATTATATTCATCTTTCTTTCTAGAGAATCCTAGATCTCTAATATATGATACCACCATATATTGACACTATGAAAATATATTTTAATTCATAAATTGTCATTAAATTTTTCGATATATTGTCAAGTTGCTTTAACTTAATTTTTCAATTAAATTCTCTGATAATGTCTTAAGTGCAACTATACATAATAGTGTACTTGATTGAAACTATTCTTTTACTATCTAACCATGTTGCTGAAAACACCAATTCAAAACTCTTTTCATCAATATTTTGAACATTATCTAATTTATTAAAAGGAATCCATTCGATTATATTTTCATAAGATTTGGTTTTAAATTGAAATTCTTTAATTCAATTATCAACATCTTTATTTCTATTTGTCCATTCTTTGTATTATTCTTTGAGAGTCATATGTTTTACACTAAGCTAACGAAGTATTTTGTACAAATATCGTTTAAAACCTTTAATTTTATAACTTCTTATTACTAAATTTGGTTAAGTTCAACTTTCAAGATACTATAAAACATTTGATGATTGATCTAATATATATTTTCAATTTAATATAGTTTATTAATAAAATACAATTCCATTGTTTATGACAATCCTATATCGTCATAATATATTGTTTACTATTTAAGGTAATTTTACATTAATTAATGCTCTTTTTCATTCTTACACTCTTTTTACTTTCCTTATCTAAAATAGTATTTTTTAATTAATTTCCTATTTATGGGTGTCTTTATAATTTTTCCATCTTTAGTTCGTAATTTATATACTCCTTTTTCTAAAACCTTATATACAATGAATAGACCTTTCTACTTTGGATGAAGTTTATGGCTTTTTGAATACTGTTGAGAAGCTTTGTATACCAATACTAGCTCTCCTTTTTTAATTTCTTCTATAGATAGTAATTCCTGATCATGCCTTATTTTAGCACTTTTTTGTGCTTTTTTTACTTTTTTAACTGCATCATTTCTTATTTTAGATAATATTTTGATTAATTCGAAAATTTTTTGAAGAAATGTTTTTTCCAACAATTCTTCATTCTCATCAAGATGGATAGGACATCGGGCTTCTCTTCCATATACTAAGAAAAATAAAGTAATCTTCGTCGTATTCTGTTTAGCAGTTTGGTATATGAAGAGCACTGAAGGTATGAGTAAATCTCATTCTCTTACGTTTGTGACTAATTTAGCAATAGATTCACATAACGTTTTGTTGAATCTTTCCACTAATCCATTTGTTTGTGGATGATAAGGTGTTGAATAATGATGATTAATATTAAATTTCTTTAAAAATTCATCTATTAGATTATTCCTGAAATGCGTTCCTCTATCGGATAGTAGGTATTGTGGACAACCATGTCGACATATGATATCTTTGTATATAAAGTTGGCTACTTCTTAAGCATTCGCATTTTTGATTGCTCTTGCTTTAGGCCATTTGGTCATGTAATCTGTAGCAACTACAATATACCTATTATCAATATATCTATTACCTTTTAAAGTTACAGGTAACTTTCCTACTATGTCAATTCTAATTTTATAAAACGGGGCTTCAACTGGTATTGGATATAAAGGAGGTTTGGCTAAAATTTTTCCTCTTCTTTGACAGGCATCACAAGTACGAACGAATCTTCTTATATTGGAATACATTTGCGGCCAATAATACTTATTTCGTATCTTATTAAACATTATGTTAATTCTGAAATGTCCCCCTAATAAATGAGTGTGAGTTAAGTATAAAATCGATTCTACTTCGTATTTTTGTATTACTCTTAATAGATTATTAATTTGGTGTTTATCTTTTTTGTAAATTAAATCATTCTTTACTACAAAAAATTGACTTTGTAATTGACTTTGTAATTGAATGCTCTGTCGTTCTTGAGGAGTTATCTTGCGTGATAATATACGTTTTACTAAATACGTTTTCAATAACTAGTATCTAAATGGTTCTATTTTTAAAAATTTTACCAGAACACCGACTACCTGGACTGGATTGATTTTAATGTTGGATTTATATCTTGATTATTATTTTCTTGACTCTTTTGATAAGTATAATGTTCTTAATTAAAAAAAATTTTTTTTTTTTTTTTTTAAAAAAAAATATGTGTTATCTTAATTAAAAATTTTTATAAGTTTTTTTCTCTATTTTTGCCAGATTCATAAATTATTTGTTATCTTTAAACTAAGTATATTTCATATATATTAATCATATTTTCTTCATTTTAATGTGTCTAAATATCTATATCCTTTCTTGTATAACTGTAATTTTCTTTTATTCGTACAATACTAATATAATACTGAAATATTATTTCCTATTCAAAGTCTTTAACTTCAATAAATTGTTGTATCTATAGACTATTTGTCTATATCATTTAACCTTAAATTCGAAAGGACTTTTATTGATCTTTTACACTTAGGCTAACACGAATCTGAATATACCCTGAATATTTGCAATGTCATAGACTTTTCGATGTGGGCCTTTTGCATTAGTCTGTGACGTTTTAATACTCCCCTGGCAGTGCCTTTCACTATCATATATGCTGCAGGTTCTTGACAAAAGACTTTTATATCAACCTGGCCACCCTTAGTGACTTATATTATTAGTCTGTGATGTTTCAACACTCTCCTGGTAGTGCCTTTCACTACCGCATGTGCTGCAGGTTCTTGACAAAAGGCTTTTATGTCAACCTGGCCACCCTTAAACAAAATAATAAACTTTTTGATATTGTAAGTCATTTCCTTTAAATAAAATTTTCTTTTTTTATTAGTTATATTCAATTCAAAAAAAAAAAATAATTATTTAATTAACTAATTTCTTTTCCTTCTTCCTATTTCTGTGAATACATTCTAGATAATGCATCTACATTAGAGTGTTTCCTATCTGCTCTATAAATAATCGAATAATTATAAAGTTGTAACCTTAATATCCAACGTGCTCTTTTTCCTTTAAGTTCTGAAGTATAAAGCCACTTAAGAGCAGCGTGATCCGTGATTAAAGTAAAGTGTTTAGCTCCAAGATAATAATGGAAATATTCTACTGCTCATACTATAGCTAGACATTTCATTTCTGGAGCAGAATAGTTACGTTCGGTTTTAAAAAGTCCCGACTAGTATATACAACCATATACTCTTTATTTTCTTTATCTTTTTGAGCTAATATAGCTCCTAATCCAATGCCGGAAGCATCAGTATGTAAGTAGAATTCTTCATTAAAATTTGGATACCTTAAAATAGGTGCCTTTATCAAATGTCTTTTCAATGTTTCAAAGGCGATTTGCTGATCTTCATTCCATTTATATGGAATATTTTTTTCTAATAACTTATATAAAGATCGGACTATCGTAGCAAATCTTTTAATGAATTGATGATAATAGGACGCTAAGCCAATAAATCCTCTTAATTGTCGAAGATTTGTTGGTAAAGAAAAATTTTTAACTTTTTCAATTTTTGTTTCATCAGGTCTTACCCCCTCTTTGTTTATTATATGTTCCAGATAATGAATTTCAGATTTTAAAAAGGTACATTTTTCTGGATTTAATTTCAATTTCACTTTTCTTAATTTGCTAAAAACAATTTTTAAATGTTTTAAATGTTCTTCGAAAGAATTGGAGTAAATATTTATATCATCTAGGTAAACCATAGCAAATTTACCAAGACAATCCCCAAGTACTATGTCTATTAATTGTTGAAAGGTTCCCGGGGCGTTGCAAAGGCTGAACGGCATTACTTTAAATGCGTGAGTACCATATTTTGTAATAAATGTTGTCTTTTTAATGTCTTTTTCACTCACTTCAACTTGCCAATATCCACTTATTAGATCTAAAGTAGAAAACCATTTGGCTATTTCAAACGTATCAAGGAGGTCGTTAATTAATAGTAAAGGATATGTATCTTTTTTAGTTACTGCATTTAACTTTCTATAATCTATGCAGAATCGTAGTTTGCTGTTTTTCTTTGGCACTATAACTACGGGAGAGGCCCAGGGACTATTTATTTCAATTATTAGTCCTTGTTTTTTAAGTTTATTAGTTTCTTTTCTAATAAACTCATTTTCTTCATAAGCGGCTTTTGCTTAATTGGGACGGTGTCACCTATATTAATGCTATGAGTAGTAGCATTCGTACAACTCATATTTTCAATACTTTGTGCAAATAAGGTTTCTTCTGTAAGTAGAAATTCTTTTACTTTAATTTTTTGTTGGGTTGTTAGTTCTTCATTATTAACCATTTCTTCAATTAATTCTCTCATAGATTTTCTTTATCATCTTTTTCTTCTTTCTTTGTAGATATCTCTTCAATGTTAGTAAGATATAATGCTAAATTGTCTTCTTGTAGTAGTCAACTTTCTTTTTCTTCGAATTCTTCTTCTTCATAGTCAAATTCGTCAAATGTGTCTCCACTTTCGTATTCATCTATTTCTTTTTGTGAATTAAGGGTTTCTATACCAGTATTAGATATCAGAATTTTTACTGACTTATTAAGGTAGCTTACTAAAAGCTTTTGTTCATCAAAATATATTCTAGCTCTGGCCTTTTGGAACCAATCTGTTCCTAACAATAATGTGTCATCTCTAAACTCTAGAACTTGTAAAGTTATAGGTATGACTATATCTTGTATCATTATTTTTACATTCTTTACTTTTCCCAAAGTTTTGGCTTTATCTCCTGTAGCCATTACCACCACAGTTACTGATTCTTCATCGATTTCTAATCCGAGTTTATCAAGTAGTCTTTTAGAAATAATACTTACTACTACTCCAGAATCTAAGACTGCTAGTATTGGATTATTCTTAATCTTTACATAGCATTTAGCAGCTGTTGTTTTTCTTCTTTCTTCAAAATTCATAAAATTAGCTTCTCATTTAGATAAAGGCCTTTTTAAAATATTGGCTAAGTTCTTTCTTTGGTTTGGGTACTGAAGAATTTGACCAACTGTGGTATTCGCTAGTAATGATAAAATATCATTAGCCACATTATAAGGTTCTATCTTATCTATTGTTGACGGCCCTCTCTTGTGTTAAATCTTTTTTTTTAAAGATAAAATCTCTTTTTCAGATTCATTATCAACTTGCATTTTCTCCGTTTCATCATCTATTTCAGATTGTTGAGTATTGACTAATTTTCTTTTTCTTAATTTTTCATTCCAATCAGGTTTAACCGGACGTTTTACAATCTTTTTCACTACTTCTTCATTATCTATATTATATATTTTCTTATTCATTTCTTCATCAATTATTTCACAATAATTTATTTTTCTTATTTCATTCTTATTTCTTTTTTCTTTTTCTTTCGTTTCTTTAGGTTTTTCCGAAAGGCAATTTCTAGCATAATGCACAAATTCATTACAATTATAACATTAAGGTCCTTTTCTTTGTACCATAATTCTTTCGTTTAATGAGTTTACTGGCCTATGATTATTATTATAAGGACATCTTCTATAAAGATTTTCTCATGGACAATAAGTTCTGGTATCTTTTAATTGTACAGATAAACTTGCATAATTTAATGCTAGGCCTTCAATACTTTTCTTAAAGTCAACTAACTCATTCTTATTTTGTTGTTTTTCATTTTCTATATCATAAGGTCGTCGGCTATAATTTCCTCTAGCTTCAACTCTTTTTGCCACGTCAATGGCTTCATTCAAATTTTTAGAAGTGGCTACAGATACTAAAGTGGCATTATTGCCTTTCAGCCCATTCAAAAACATTCCAACTATAAACCCATCAGAAAAACCATTATCAATATTAATTCTATTGAGTAACTTGATAAATTTAGTGGCATAAATATCCACTTTCTCTGTATTCTTTTGTCTTAATTCATATAATTCTATCTGCCAATAATGTTAACACTCTTTGGAAGCAAACTGTACTACAAATAGATGGTAGAAACTTTTGTTTCATTCTGTCTCATTTTCTTCTTTAACTTTCCAATACTCAATACTTTCTTTTACTTTTTTATACCATACAGCTGCCATTTCTTTCAAGTACCCGGACGTGATTTTAACTATACGATCTTCAGTCCAATTGTTAGCTTTGGTGGCTCTTTCAAAATCGTCGAACTATTCGAAAGAATCCTTATCATTGGTTCTATAAAAGTATTTAATTTTTACATAATTACTTTCTTTTAATGAAGTTTTATTTTTTTCCTTTTTAGTTAAGGCTTCCATAAATTTATTAAATTGTTCTTCATTTATTTTTAATAGGTTAAATGCAGATTTTTATGAAGTTGGAAATCTCACAGTTACCACCAAATGTTATGGGGTGAATCGTATCCTTTGATATGGACAAACACAAAAATATAAGTTTTTAGATGATTAGGCAACTCGCCAGAGGTGTGATGATGGTGATTTAGCAATAGCTTAGTTTTAAAATAATATTATCAAGGTGATTTATTCAATATTATAGGTTAGGAATATCATAATCCATAGGATAAAATTCTTCTTTACAAGAGAGAAAATACAGAGTTTATATAACTTTTACTATACTAATAGATTCTAAAGGCTTAGAATAAATCAATATTTCATTATGAAAAATTAAAGAAAAGATCACTATAACTAAAGGGGCTTACAAAGATAAATACAACATTGATTATATTAATGAAGGCTTTGCCTTTACAATATTTTCTATTTTAACTATTTCTAATTATTTTTGATTCTTGTTTTCTTCTCTTTAAATCTTCATTCATTTTTTTTGGAATTCTTCTTTGGATTTCACATAGGTTATCTTTCTGTTATTTAGCTAGTAAGCCTTATGCACTAGTCGATCTGGAATTCCGATGATCGATCTACTTGAAGTCATGAGTTTGCTACGCCGATTTGTCGATCTACCTTTTAGCCTGTGACAATAGCGATACTATCTTCAAAGAAATCTATAATTAAAAGAAATCTAAAAAAACAAAAGCTGCATATTCCAAATATTTTTACTAGTTGTTGCCAATGACCCTGATAACACTTACATATTAAGAATTTTAACAAAAGTATGACCTAAGAGGGATGCAGATAGTTAAGTGTTGGCTTTTGCAATTGGTGTAGCTCAAGTCTTACTAAGCTACAAATATGAAAAAATAACTTGATAAAAAAGTTATAAAAACCCAAATTGAAAAAAATTTAGTAAAAATTTATTGTTAAAGTTTTATAGTTAGCAAAACTGTTTGAAATTTCTTACAATGTAAGAAATTTTTAAAATTTTTTGTAAAATATTTTGTATTATATAATTTAATTATATATTGTATATTTTGTAAGCAATATTAGATAGTAATAGTGTTTTTGAAGTTTCTGATCCTGAAGATAATAGTAATAATGATTCAAAAGATAATAGTAATGACAATAACGATTTAGATAGTAGTAGCAATAGTAGCAGCAGCAGCAGAGGCAGCAGCAGTACAAATAAATATATTCTACCTGATAATTTGCAACCTATATCTACTCCTACTTCTACACCTAACCCTACTCTACCTCTAAACAACTGTAGCAGTTTCTAAGATATAATTATTTTAATTTAATATTACAATAACTTTTATTTTATAATTAATTTACTTATAAAATTTTAGACTGCTAAAACTAGTAAAGCTTTAAAAATTTTTAATATATAGAGTAAACTTGCACTAGCAATTCCAAATATTCAGAGTAAAGATATGCTAGCAATTTCAAATATATAGAGTAAAGATATACAGAAAATTTAAAATAAACAAGAGAAGGTAGAAAAAACTAGAACTAGCATAATTATTATAATTTAATAAT